CTCACAAAAAACCGATTCGGCGCACTGGCAGCAGCAGACTACCAGCATTCCGGGCCCATCGAGCTCGGCAACACGGAGGCCAACAGCGCCAGTACAAGGCCCACTCAACAACGAAGGCGCCGATGAAGTCGCCGAACCGCCACCCGAGTCCTGTCAGAGCTCAGAGGCAAAGAAGAAACGAGCTCGGACGAGGTAGGAGTTGCCCCGATTCTCATAGTTCCTTCCCCCCTCGCATCAGAACTCCTGGCGGTCCCCTTGCCTAGAGATTTCAAGCTCCCACCAACGACCACGTTGACGCTTTCTAGTCCCAAATGCACCTCGCTAGGGCCAACGAATCGTGCATGTGCATGGCCTTCACCACCACCTTCAGGGGGGTAGCCCGCACTTGGTACAGGAACCTGGCCCCCGGGTCGATAAAGTGTTGGGCTCAGTTCGTGCAGGTCTTCACCGCACACTTTGTCACCAGCAAATGATGCCCCAGAATAGAGGAAAGTATCTTCGGAGTAGTCCAAAGGGAAGGAGAATCCATACGGGGCTACATCAAGCGATTCAATGAAGCATGCTTGCAGATACCGCGGTTGGACCCCGCGGTGCAGTTCGCGGCGGCAAAAAGAGGGGTAACGCACAAAGAATTCAAATGGCACATGGTAGCTAACCAGCCCGCAACCGTGGCCGAATTCCTCAAGCTCGCGGACAAGTTCATGAGGATAGAGGAAGAAATCAACCAACGAACCGAGGGCGGGAACTAGAAAAAAAAGAGGGAAGGCGAGCCCTCCAACCCAGTCGACAGGAAAAACCTGGCCCGAGAGCCGAAGCCGAACCAGTCGTTCCGAGCTCCCCTAGCAGTTCGGACGGATTACACGCCGTTGAACACAAGGCAGACCGAGATCTTAATGACGATCAAGGATGCCCCATACGTGAAGGGGCCACCTCGCCTAAAGGGAAATCCGAACAAAAGAAATAAGAATTTGTATTGTAGTTTCCATAGAGACCATGGTCATAGTACCGAGCAGTGTAATAATCTCCGGGACGAGATAGAGGGGCTCATCCGTCGCGGATACTTGAGAAACTTTGTGCAACACAACAATAATAACAATAAGGCAGGTCGGCAAGGGGAGCACGAAAAGGATGCCCCCGAATCTAGCAGTAGAACTGCCAAACCGTTGCAGCGACAACCTCCGGAGGAGAGGCCAGTTCGGGGAACCATCCATGTAATTGTGGGAGGTTCGGTGGTAGCAGGGTGTACCTCGGCAGCAGCCCGGACTTCAGTTCGCGAAGCGGCCCTCGAGRAATGGAACCCCCCAAAGAGACCAAAGACCGAAGAACCAATCTTCTTCACGGAGGCCGCGCGGGGGGTCCGCTACCCCCACGATGACGCGCTTGTCATTAAACTAAGGATCAACGACTTCGAGGTCAGACGCGTACTCGTAGATTTGGGCAGCTCGGTAGACATCCTCTTTAAATCAGCATTTGACCAGCTACAGTTACAGAGGAGCGAACTAAAACCCGCGAACACTCCCCTGGTGGGTTTCAGCGGAGAGGAAGTCAGGCCCCTYGGAAAAATAACAGTACCTGTGGAAGTTGGCACATGGCCTTGTGCGGTCAGACTCAACCATGATTTCCTGCTGGTCGCGACCCCCTCCCCATACAATGCCATA